CTCGGTTGCGTGGGGGGGGGGGGGGGGCAGACTGGGAGGTGCCTTTCTGGGGTGCCCCATATAGAAGGGCAGCATCCCGCATGGCAGTGTAGGGGACAGCGGGGTGCTTCGGGATCCCCCAGGCTGAACCCGGATGGAGAAGGGGCACCGTGGTGTACCTCTCCTGCCTGGGCACTATCCCCATGCTGGTGGCCCGCACCCCAGTGGTGGGTGTTCACAGCCCGGGGCTCCCCACTGTCCCTCAGACCATCCCTGTGTGGCAGCGGGGGGCTGCAGGATGTCCCTGCGTCCCTCTGTGTGGGGGTGGCAGGGGGTTGGGGTGACAGCTGTGTGCTTATCCGCTCGATGCTACAGCAAAAACAACACCGACAGTAAAATCTGGGCTTTCCCAGGGGTTTACCCGGGACTTGCCTGTGGCCAGGCAGCTTTCGGTTGTCCCCATGTGTTACCCCTGGGCGCAGGGCCCTTGACCATGCCGGGGCTGGGCGTCCCGTGTGCTGCCCGGCCACGGCGGGGGAAGGCAGCCGGCGCCTGAGTGAGTGAGGAACCCGTGGGGATGTGGAGGAGGCACCGGTTCGGCATGATTTATTACCAGGCACTCATCTTGCGTCGTGCCCTGGGGTCAAAAAATGCAATGAAGTGCAGGGGCTGGTGGGGACTCCTGTGTCAAGGTCCCTCTCTGAGAGGACAGCATGACCTGGAGAAGGGTCCTCAGTGCCGCAACCAGCGCAGGAGCCTTCCCCATCCCTGCTGACCTGGGGATGGGGAACGGGGCAGTTAGTGTGACAAAACGTCCATCGACAGCCAGAGATAAAGACCCTCCATGCTTCCTCCCAGTAAAGGCATGGCATCGCCCGGAGTGGACCCATGCGGAGGGAGGACGGTTGTAGCATGGGTGCTCTTATCTTGATCCTGAATTTATCTCGGCCAACCGCTTTGTGCAACCAAACGATAGCCCGATAAGTTGGCTGATCTCCCTGCAGTTTTCACTTGGCAAGTCAGGGTGTGTGTTGGGGGGTGAGGGGCAGCTTCACCCCCCCTCCCCGGCCACCACCGTGTCGGCTAGATCTGCGCCCTAGATTTAGGGAAGTGGCTGGAGCTGCACTTCCCCCCGCTCCGCGGGCAGGTCCACCCCAGCCGGGTGCTGCCTAGCGTGCACCCGAGGGGAAGTCCTGAATCACAGCTTGCACAGGGGCCGCCGCTGTCCCCATAGGCTCCGTTCCCCGCTGCGGGCAGCACAGCACCCTGCCCAGCCCTGACTGCTTCAGCACCGGCAGCGGCTGGAGGGAGGGAGGGAAGCTGGAGGCATGGATGGAGGCTGCATTTCCCTGTCCGGAGTGTGGTTTATTCCTAGGTTGACCACGGCGTGATCAAGCGGGGCCGGCAAACCCGTTGGAACTGGCTGTACTGGTACCGCTGCCGGCTCACTTGGTCACGCTGCGGCGAGATGCTTCGCGTGGGAGCGGGGCGGCTCGTCTGGTGGCAACTCGTGCTCAGATCAGAGGAAACGTTGTGAAACCACAGTCTTGGGGAGGGGAGGGGGGAGATACCACGAGTTGCTATCAGTGGCATCCCCCCGCCACCAGTGCCGGCGGTCCTGGGTGGCTCATCCCGCATGCCGGCCTGCCTGCTCACCAGCGGTTTTGGGAGACAGCTTCCTGCCACAATGGGGTGGGAAGGATGAGCGGCTCTTTGCTGCCTGTCTGAGCCAGTCTGACAGCGCTGTACCAAAATCCCTGCCCGGGGCGCCTGTGCCGGCAGCCTGGCACTCCCGTGATCCTGCATCTCCCGCAGGGCCAAGAGATGAGAGCCGGAACCTCTGCTGCCTGCCTGGGGCTGCTGCAGGGATGGGCAGGGTGGTTTTTGGGGGGCTCCCACAGCCCTGCTTGGGCGAGCAGGGGGTCCCCAGGACCCCTTTGGCTTACAGTGAAGCCGTGTCCCCTTGGGCAGACCCGGGGACATGCGGGTGTCAGGACGCAGCTCGCAGCCCCGTGCCAGAGGAGCATGGTTCCATGGGGGTGACCCTGGTGGTGGGCACTGCCTGTGGCTGGGGGGCCATGAGGAGGAGGAGGAGGAGGGAACGACAGGAGTCTCCTGCATGCGTGATGGCAGCGATGGTTCATGGGTGGGCGCAGGGGCGGACATGGGGGGCTGCAGCAGCCTGGGGCCCGCAGCTCCTGCCCCAGCTCCCCTGGGGACCTGGGCAAGTCCCTCACAGCCCTCAGGGGACTACTGAGTCCAACCCTGCAGGGCCCTGGGACTGGGGAGGGGGCAGAGCCTCCCCCATCCTTCAGATGGGGCTCAGTTAAAACAAAGCCCTGTAACAAGGAACAAAGGAGGTCTGATCTGGTTTGAACCTTCCTGGACCCTTCCCGTCTGCGTGGCTTGTCTGGGGCAGAGACACTGCGGTGTGCCCATGTCCCCTGTCCTTCGGGGAGCTCCTGGAGCACCAAAGCCAGCTGTGAGACAGTGCAGGGCAGCACCCAGCGCCCTGCCAGGGTTCTTGCTTGGGATGGATCCGAGCCGGGCTGGGATAGTCGCTGCCTGCAGGGAGTGACCACATTGCCCCAACCCTGCGGCAGCTGGGGTGGCTGTGCCATGTGGAAGCAATGGGGAGGAGAAATTGCCATTCATGAGTAAGAGGAGGAGAAATTGCTCATAAGGAGGATGATCTTGCAAAGTCCCCTGGAGAAGGGACCTTGGGGACCTGGCAAAGTGGTTGTGGGTTCCCCTCAGGTTCCTGTGGCTCGTCAGTAGCGCCCAGTGAAGCCGAGGACATGCAGGACAGGGCACTGTCTGTCTCTGCATCGGCGCCTGGGCCTCGAGAGCAGCGGAGCATCTCAGCAGATTTTCTCCATAACCTTGTGAAAGGGGAGGGAGAAGCCAGCCTGTCCCTGCATGCTCCACGCTGGCGTCCCTACGCTGGCGTCCCCCCCGCCGTCACGCTGCAACAGAGGGAGGAGCCTGGCTCTGCTGTCCCTGACTCAGCCGGGACCTTCCCATGGCTCAGAACCCGCTGTGGGGAGCAGATCTGCTGACCCCCCCATGGCGCTGGGGGTGTCCCTGGCCATCGCTCTGCAGGTGACTTCTGCAAGCGTGGAGGGAGTGTGGCTTCCTCTGCCAGCCGCACAGGAGATGGGACAAGGGGACACATGGGCTGGCCCTACACTCATGGGACAGCCCAGAGCCCTCCTGGCCCTCGGGGCACCTTATCGCTCTCGGGCAGGCGGCAGGGTGGCATGTGTCCTCGGGGCTGGTTATCTGCAGGTTGGAGATGGGGAGAGAAGCTCTTGGTGGCTGCGTGTCGTGACAGTGTGAGGGTCTGTCCTCTGGCGTTTTGAGGGGGACAGAGCGAGCGTGAGATGGTGCTGCGCTTTGTGGGGGGAACTTGCCTGGGGAAAAGTCTGCTGACAAGTGTCTGTCTGTCTCACTGCTGGGTGCGAGAGGGAAGGGAATCATCCTGTGCAGGACAGGGTCGGGGGGGTGTCTGGGGTTCCATGTGTCTCACCTGGCTGGGCCCCAGCCCTGTGGGGTAGGATCTGTCCTAGCAGAGGGCTGGCTGTGTCTGTCTATCTGTGTCTGAGCTGGATGGGGCCATTGGGATCCCAGGGAAACAGCACTTGCAGCCTCTCACTGCCCTGCTCTCTTCCCAGGCACCACCTGCGTCCTTGTGTCTTTCCCCTTCATCTTCAACCCCTGCCTGGGTTGCAAGGAGAACACACCACAGTGGGCAGCCTTCATCTACTACCTCCCCTTCATCATCATCTTCCAGTTCGGCTGGGCGGCCACACAGATCTCCCACCTGTCCCTCATCCCCGAGCTGGTGACCAGTGACCATGAGAAGGTTGAGCTGACAGCGTTCAGGTGAGCACGGCTGGACCTGGCTGTCCCCTGAGCCCGGGGGAGCAGCCCTGCCTGTGCTGGGTCCCATCGCTTGTGTGATGACAGGTCCCCTGGGTGCCACGGGTCTGATGTCCGCTGTGTGCCATGGAACACTTGAGCCCTCAGTACACCAGGACCAAGACTGGGCCTGTGGGTGTCCTCCAGGATGTGTCCAAGTGACACTGGTCTTCTGGGTTGGTGGCCCTAATCCTTTGGTACCAGAAGGGAATGTCCTGATAGCAGGGATGTTGGTGACACTGCACATGGGGCACTTCCCTGAGCTAGGGGCACTTCTCCTTCAGGACTGGAGGGTGCTCACCAGGGAGGAATGGAATCCTCCCCCTGCATGCCCCCGGCAGAGCTGGGCAGGGCCCTGTGTGGCTGTCCCATAGGTAGGGATGGCCCCAGGGCCAGACTGGGCAGCACCTACAGCTCCGTGCACAGAGCCCGGCTCAGCGCCGCTTATCTGGCAGGATCAGGCTGCGGGAAGGAGTGTTCATCAGATGGAGCAGAGCTTGGTTATCTGCCCCGGTGTGAGGACGTTCCCCTCTCGGCAGGCGAGCAGGGACGGCAGTGCAGCCGGACAGGGAGGGTGTGGGGCAGTGCTGGGGCCAAGGGGTCTGGCTCTGGGGACACTGGGCCGGGCAGCTCGGGGCGTCCTTGGGGCAGAGGTGAGCTGTGACTGTGGACAGGCTGACATGGAGGCACCTTGGTTTCCTCCCAGTCGTGCCCTGAGGCTTGGAATGGGCATGCTGGGAGGTGCACCAGGCTAATGCCTGGCCAGATGCTGCGTTCTCTTGGAGGTGTCACCTCAGCAATGACACAGGGGCGCAAAGCTGGCTGTAGCATGCCCAGCTCAGAGGGCAGCCTTGGGTCGAGGTGTCCCCGCCATGCCTGGAGCTGTGCTCGTCCCTCTGCATCACCCTGAGGTGCTGTCTCCCCTTAGGTATGCCTTTACCGTCATGGCCAACATCACTGTGTACGTCCTGTCCTGGCCCCGGCTGAACTTCCAGGTAGACCAGCCTGACCGCACAGAGCATCTGGGCATCCAGGATGTCCCTATCTTTCGGGTAAGTGGCAGGGCTCAGTCCCTGGGGTCCTCTCTTCCCCAGGTAGGACATGAGCCAGCAGTGTGCCCAGGTGGCCAAGAAGGCCAACAGCATCCTGGCCTGTATCAGGAATAGTGTGGCCAGCAGGACAGGGGGACAATCACTGCCCCAGTACTCAGCACTGGTGAGGCCCCACCTCGAGTGTTGTGTTCAGTTTTGGGCCCCTCACGACAAAACAGACATTTCTGTGCCGGAGCGTGTCCAGGTGAGGGGTCTGGAGCACAAGTCCTGTGCGGAGCGGTTGAGGGACGTGGGGGTGTTCAGCCTGGAGAAAAGGAGGCTGAGGGGAGACCTTCTCGCTCTCTACAGCTCCCTGGCGGGAGGTCGGTCTCTTCTCCCCAGGAACAGGCGATGGGGCAAGAGGAAATGGCCTCACGTTGCACCAGGGGAGGTTTAGGATGGAGAATAGGGAAAATTTCTTCATGGAAAGGGTTGTCAAGCACGCGCACAGGCTGCCATCCCTGGAGGGATTTAAAAGAGGGGCAGATGTGGTGCTGAGGGATGTGGTTTAGTGGTGGGTTTGGCAGTGTCAGGTTGACGGTTGGACTCTCTGATCTTAAAGGTCCCTTCCAACCCAGACGATTCTCTGATTCTGTGGCTCAGCTGGGGAGGTACTGGAGAGAGTGAAATAGCAGTGTCCTGAAATCTCACCTACTGTACTGGGCAGGGGCTGCATTGAGGTCTCCCTGGGTTTTTGGGAACCCCTTTTTATCCACCAGACGGCTGGGGGGTGGATGATGGGCTGGCAAAGGGCACCCCGTGCCATGCTCACCCCCTCTGCCTCACCCAGAACCTGTCCCTCATTGTGGTGGGTCTGGGGGCCGTGTTCTCCCTCATCTTCCACCTGGGCACCAAAGAGGAGCCGTACCCACCGGGCTCGCTGCCCCAGCTGGAAGAGAGCACACCCCTGATGCAGAAGGAGACTACGAGTCCCCCGCGCACACTGCTGATCTGGAAAGACTGGCTGCGGGAACCTGCCTTCTACCAGGTACGGCAGTGGGCAGAGCTCGCGGCACATGCGCGGGGCTGCTGCCCTGCCTGGGTGCTGTGGGCATCTTCTGGCAGTGGGTTGTGCCCTGGTGCAGGTGAGGATGGAGAGATGGGCTGTAGTGGGCACCCACCTGCCATATCAGGGGAGCTCTCCCCTTCTCAGTGGGCATCTGTGCCGTGGCAGGGTTGGGCACGGAAGGTGCCAGCCTTCCCTACCTCCAGTTCGCATGGGCTGAGCGGTGCTGCCCTGTCTCTGTCCCCTCACAGGTGGCGGTGCTCTACATGTCCACCAGGCTCATCGTCAACCTGTCCCAGACCTACATCGCCATGTACCTGACCAACTCGTTGCTGCTGCCCAAGGTGGGCACAGGGCAGGTCCCTGCCTCCATGTTGAGGTCGTGTAAGCAGGGGTCCTGTGTCGATGGTCCAGAACTCATCTCCCTATCTCCCTGTCCTCGTCTCTTGCAGAAATACATCGCCACCATCCCCTTGGTGATGTACATCAGTGGCTTCCTCTCCTCCTTCCTCATGAAGCCTGTGAATAAGTGGATAGGTCGAAATGTGAGTCCTGGGGGCCCTGGTGCGGTTTGAGTTAGACCCAAGGAGGGGCCCAGGGGCCAGATCCTGACCGCACAAGTGAGCAAAGCACTCAGCACACCTGAGCCTTGCTGGAGAGCAGGGACCCCTCGTGCGCCCTCTGCCGATGCCCCCCTGCTGCCATGTGGGTCCTGCTGTGACAGTGCGGGTGGTGGGGAGGCTGAGGGGACGTGGGTCTGTCCTGCACACCTCTGAGGCTGGGGAAAGCGATGCTGGTCCTCTGCAAAGCCTGTCCTGTGCAGCCCTGACCGGGCTGGGAGAGCCCCGCAGTGCCCATGGGAGGCAGAGGAAGGGTTTGGCTGAGCCACCCTGGGCAGGTACAGGGGTCTGCAGTGCCAGCAGGAGGGGGGGGTGACTTGTTTGCTGCGCTGCAGCAAGAACCCATCCCCAGTACGCCCCCACCTCTCCTGCCAGTTGGGTGTTCCCGTGCCTGGCACAGGTACCCTGCCTGCAGCTCTGCTGCGGGCTCGGCTCTTAGGCTGCGGCCAACGCTGTAAAACAGCCTGGACCGCCGCAGGGTGTTATTTGGGGGCTCCTTGTTTAAAACCAGCTGGGAGAAAGCCAGGGCTGTCCCCTGCAGGTCCTAGGCAGCAGCTGTCCCCTGTGCCCTCCCCGCTCACCCCTGCCTTGCTGGGTGTCAGCTGAGCCAGGGTCTGAGCTCTCCCTTCTCCCTCTGCCTGTCCTCTGCAGCTGACCTACTTCGTGGGCATCCTGGTGATCTTAGCTTTTGCCTCCTGGGTGACCCTGGCCAGGCAGATGGGAGCGGAGATCTACGGGGCAGCCGTGCTGCTTGGGGCTGGTTCCGCCACTATCCTGGTCACCTCCCTCTCCATGACGGCAGACCTCATCGGTACCAACACGGTATGTCTGCTCCTCTCTGCCGAGGTTGGACCGAGGTGTCACTGCGGAGCTTGGAGCCTGCGGGCTGGTGTGGTCACTGGCACAGGACTGGGGGGGGTGGAGACCCCTGCGAGGGGGCTCCACTGTGGGGTGCAGGCAGCCCTGTCCCCTGTGCTCGGGCTCTGCTGTAATATGGGCTCTGCCCATGAGAGGGCACAAGGCTCTCGCTGCCGGCGCCCGCTGGCCTCAGTGCAGCGGCCATGAGGTTTCCTCTCCCTTCACAGCACAGCGGTGCCTTTGTCTATGGCGCCATGAGCTTCACGGACAAGATGGCCAACGGCCTTGCTGTGATGGTGATCCAGAACCTGCACCCATGCCCGTAAGCATCCCTGTGGGGTGGGAACCCTCCCAGTGGCAGCTCCAGCCACATGGCTGGGGGACAAGGCAGCAAATATCCCTGTTTCGCAGCGACAGACATGGGTGGAAACCAGCTCTGATTTGTCTTAAATCCTTCCTTGACTTCTCTTCTGGCCTTCAAGGAGGGCTGCATCTCTGGGACGCACAAAGGGGCTGGGGATCTCAGTGTCCAGGGTGCTGCCCTCTCGCCTTGCCCTGGACCTTTCCCTGGTGTCCCAGTGTGAACCAGTCCTGACACTGAGGACGTGGCACCCCTGTCAGCAGCACCTGGGCAGCACTGGGCCAGGCTCCGGCCCTGGCCACTAAGCCATGTCCCTGCCCTCTCCCTGCAGGACTGAGCTCTGCTGCCCTGCCTGCATCAGCTTCTACCACTGGGTGATGGTGTTGGTCACGGGAGGCATTGCTATCGCCGCCATCGCCTCTCTGTGCTGCATCATGGTCTGGCCCATCCGTATCCGCTACCGTGAGTGGGGCTGGGGACAGTGGGGGGTCCAGCCATGTGGCTGGGGGCACTGGGAGCCCCATGTCCTGTGCCAGCCTGGGCTAAAGTGAGAGTGTATTTCCAGATGTCCCTGGCTGCGGGGAGACAGCGGGAGCCCTGTCCCGGCACAGGGTGCCGTGGCAGGGCTGGCAGCGGGGATGCTCACAGCCCTGCCCACGGGGGGACCCTCATGGTAGGCACATGGGGCAGGGCCACTATCCCGCTTCTGCCGCTCCTGGCCCTGGAGCTGGGGGCTGCACCTGCTTGCTGTGTTCTCCTAGAGGGCAGGATCCACCCCTGCAATGGCCGTGCTGACCTTGGCACTCCTTGGGTCACCGAGGGCTGGCGGGGGCAGCTCCGTGTGCTGGTAGCCAAATGTGGGGGCAGGCGTTGGGGACAGGGTGCCCCTTGCCAGGACGGGGACCCAGGCACCATTGCTCAGCCTCTGCCCTGCAGGTTGCCCGTGTCTTGCTCTGGGGTGGGGGCAGAGGACGGACACCCCCTGCACTGCCTTGGGGATGTGCTAGGGCCCCTCGTGCCAGTGGCAGGGGAATCCAGAAGGTCCAGGCCAGCGCGTGGTGGGTCACCCCAGCAGCTGCAATGGCTCCTGACCTGTCCCTCCCCTCCCATCCTCGCAGGTGCCATCTGTCTGCAGGGGCTGAGCGGAGCCGAGACCTCCTACGGCGGGATGGACAGCGTGGGGGGAAGGAGCCGGAGTGGCACCCTCAACTGAGCAGGGCCCATGTCCTCGGCCACCTTCATGTCCACGCCTGGAGGGACCCCCACGGCAGGGGACGCCATGGGGCGGGGGGCACATTGCCCACCTCACCCTGTCACCTTGCACTAGACTCGTTCCCCACCCCCTCCACACACACCCCCCCGTGCCCTGCCAGGGGACGCGTGAAGGATGTCACCCTGTGCTCGCACAAGTGTAACACTAGAAAGCCCTGGGCTGGCTGGGGGAGGGGGGAGCATCACTCCTGGCATAGGGGGGGGACACACGGGCACCCGGCCCTCGGTTTTAACCTGCTTTTGTAAGGTCAGTATGTACAAATGGCACTTTTTAAAGGAGGAGAAAAAGGAGAGGGGGAAAAAAAACAAAACCAAAATCAAACAACAAAGCACCTCTAATCGTGGATAAACGCGCTGGGTGTCTTCCCTGCCACAGGGCCGTGGGGACCCCCATGGCTGAGGGGGACAGGAGCAGTGTGAGTGGTTTGGGACATGCACAAGGGCTCCCTCGGGCTTTGACCCGGCGGTATATCCTCCCACACACACACTTTTTTTTTTTTTTCCCGTTATTCCCCTTTTCTCCATTATTCCCCACGCCGAGGGAGGCACCAGCATCGGCGGGTAGTGGTGGTCCTGAGGAGACAGGGCGGCCC